GAATGCTGTTCACCACATCCTCCACCTCTGCACATAAAACACACATTATTGAAACATTTAATGGGATCATTCAGCATTTATAAACCACAGTTTAGAGTGGAGACAAGAAGCAATGTCTGTTGTCTATGGACTTATGAAAGGCTGAACAGTTTTCTGTGTAAACCTGTTTAGAATATGCTGAACTAAGTTGACCTGATGTCACAGATGGCGACCATATTTTCAGTGAGGATCACATTTATTCACATAAACACAAACAAATCTTTTTAACATGATGCTTATAAATTTAAATGCTTTTTTATATTATTTAAATTTTATTTAAATGTTCTTTTATTTTATTACTTTTCCGAAGGTTGTAAAATATTCTAAATTTGATTAACACACTTAGTATCAGTAAAAACTACTTATTAGTTGTAGAGGTAAAAAACAAAACAAAAACTATGCTTCAACACAGAGTGAGAACTTAGTGGACCCTCAACACTTTCTGTCAAGTGTACAAGAGAACAATATAAGCACTCTGCAGGTTCTGGAGTCGGTATGTGCAGGAAGAGACAAACAGCTGCACCATTGTTCCACTGCCAGCGTGGAATCCACATTCCTGAATCTGAATCAACCTTCAGATTCCTTTTTAACACCCCTGCATAAACACACAGCCTCCAGGTCCCCAGTTTTTAAATCTTAGAAACAAAAAGTCACCAGCATTTTTAGGGAACACTAAAAGGAATTTGGCTGTGAGGGAACGAGGTGTTTTGTTTTTTTTTTCAGGCCACTGTGTGGCAGCAGACACATGTTCAGAGCCCTTCATCAACATTATGTCTCCACAAATCAGACTACTGGACATTATGGTCAGAAACATTCTGTAGGGCGTCTGACCTGCAAAGCGACCCAGGGGGATGCGGCTGGTCATGGCCTTGGCTTTTTCAGGGTCACTCCAGCCTTTACGACCCATCTCAGTCATCACCACTGTGGGGTTCACGCTGTTCACACGGATCTAATAACGGAACAAAATTACGAAGCCTACATAAAACATTGAAGTGCCAGCAATTATCTCTGCATAATTGTTTTCTAGCAGGTCTTAAGGACTTAGGGTAGAGATATTTACAAGTGCAAGTACCTGGAACGGTCCCAGCTCCAGGGCCATCACTTTAGTCAACATGTCCAGGGCTGCTTTTGTGGCACCTGAATGAGGAAAGACCATTTCCATGTGTCAAACAGGGATTTCTTCCCATTCCTCTTGGTGCAGTTGAACTCACAGTACACAGTGTGATCTCTGAGCGCACACTGGGACGCCTGGCTGGACACGTTCACGATGGAACCCCCTGATCCTCGGGCCTTCATACCACGAGCCACGATCTTCACACAGGAACAGGTTTTTTTTTATGTAATAGAATCAGATTTTCAATGTTTTATTCCCTCAGTATTATTTCAAGGAGCATCTCATGTCTGAAAGTCTTCTTCTAAAATGTTTAAAACAGAAATTCATGATTCTGAGCTTTGACCAACACCTAAAAAACAATAACTAATGCTTACGTCACCCCCTAAAATAAACACTCGATTCCTAGACCTTTCGGCTCTAACAATTCATAGATAGAAGCAAATACGGAGCCATTTTTACCTGTGACACGTGAAGCACAGCTTTCACATTCACATTAAACGACCTGCAAAAAAGAACACATTGAAATGGAATAACTTTAGATTTTTCTCTGGTGTGACTTTACATTGACTCACTGGTCAAAGTTGTCAGATGTGACATCAAGAAACGACTGCAGGTTTGCACAGGCGGCGTTGTTCACCAGTAGATGAACAGGGCCAATGTTCTGCAGGGCCCCCTCTGTGGCCCCCCAGTCTGCCAGGTCCACACACACTGGAATGATGGAAGCACACTGGAAGAGGACGACGTATACATTATGTACTTGTCTGTAATCTGACATGTTGCTAAAAACGACACTATATTTTAGTAAAGATCACCACATCTCTGTGGTTGACAGCATCGTCACTGCCTTGATGTCAGTGATAGAGCGATGGAATGAGGTTTCCATGTGTGTGATTAAAGAATTGAGAAGGGGTGTGTTAGCAGGGGTCAGAGGTTATGAATTTAGGCCACTCCCTTGGGCGGTAAGCTGTAAGGGTCTGCGTGTTATTTTTTGGGATGGTGGTGTGAGGATACCTCCTGGGTTAGGCTGTCCAGGTCAGCCCGTGTGCGTGTGACCGCCACGACCTCTGCCCCACAGCGTGCCAGAGCCAGAGCCGTGGCCCTGCCAATCCCTGAGACACAAACATCCATAAACACAAAGACTTATTACAGAGTGGATGTGAGGCTGTGACAACGGAGCTGACACACAAACACTCACACACACATTCCACACATGTCTCAGCCAAAGCCAAAGAGCTATCAATGAACAAAGGTTTTTTATATTCCATTTTCACCCCGTGTGAGGGAATGTTAATCGATTATAGTCAGGTTTTTTATGAGGAATTCCTTATCATCACCTCACCTCCCATCATGGATGGATATGTCGTTTTCACTTTGGTCTGAACCCACAGCTTAAGACTATATTGATAATCATTAATATGTTTATTATTATTTCCATCAAATGATTATCTTAAGCTTAAAGAGATGCAGATAACTGTGACACAATTCCATTAATATATCCATCCATTTTCATCTGCTTATCTGTTACCGGGTCGCGGAGGCAGCAGTCTCTACGACCGCCACCCAAATCACACTGCACCGTACCAACCCCCCTGAACCTTCCTGTGGGTGGTGAGTCCACTGGAAGGCACCAACCAACCTAACCAGGAGGTGAACCCTGGGGTTCCACACTAATGACAGAGACATTGACTCTGGGCCAAAGCACCACCATTACTACAGCCAAATCCTAAAAAGAACTATATCATCAAAATATCATCAAATATGCTATAACAAAAATTTCAAAAAACTTGATGATTAATACTACTACTATTCACTATTTCAAGGAATATGTTATATACTATTTAGTATTTCATATTACAAATTAGTAAAAGTTATCTTTGATAAGGATATTGATTAAAACAATGAGAAATGACAAAACAATATGTTGGAGTGAAAATAGTGCACATAAGGATAAAGGTTTTAAATTGTATTTAAATACAAATGAACCAAATTCTCTTTAAATATATGCAGAGGTGAAAGTATGTTGTTAACAGCGTGTGATTCCCACAGTAACCTGTAGAGGGGAGTGTAAATCGTTAAAATTGTACTTGAATGTATAAGGGAGAGTTTGTGTGATTGATTTACTTTACCTTTTCCAGCTCCAGTGACCACAGCTCGTTTGTCCTTGAAAGAAATCTCCATGTTGACTCCTGTATTTTCCGTTCAACCTGGAATAACATGACATCGATTATGAAAACAAGACGGTTTTATTTAACCGTCAAGTGTCACGTGACGTACACAGCTAACGTTTCCACCGAAGGCTACAAACCAAACGCTCGTCGACGCCTGAAACCTGAACGTCGTGAAGTAAAAGTGTTAGAAGTATTTGACAGAGAAGGTTGAAAAATCCTCACCACCAACAACAGAGCTGCAGCAGGAAACCGAGTCTGTTTGTCTGTCAACCTAAAGTTTAAACTTCCTCACGGTTAATGGACACGTTTTCTTCCAGGTCAGGACACAGTCCTGCAGTGTCATCGTGAATAAGCAGAAAACAGTGGGGAAATACGTATTATCAGCGTCTACATAAGAATGCACACGTGGAACCTGGTTTTCACTTAAAACAAAATCAAATCTCACAACTCAAATATTTCATCTAATATGTGACGTGCTTGCAATAAAACTTGTGTAACATCTTAATAATCTATACTACAGAGTACTGTGAGTACACAGCCTACGAGAATCAACTAATTGGTAACCTAACTAGTGTACATTTTATTACAGCAGCTCAATACACGTAGTCATAAAGACAAGGCCAAGGGATAAACTGACAGAGAAAAATAAACTGTTATTGTGGGTCTGATAATTATTTATCATCTATGAATTTGCTTGAAAATATTGAGACCCATGAAGTTTTTTGGGCAACAAGGCACACAGAGATCCTAGCTCCATGTTTTAAAAAATCTAGACAAAGCTTATTATTTTGCAGGAAAGATTTTTTTTTATTATTTAAAAGCCAAATGTAATACATGAGTGGTGAAACAGTTTACAGAAGCATTTTTCCTCCCTCTGCCTCACTCGCTGACCTGCAGCGAGAATTTCTGCTCTGCAGTTTTCTTCTTTTGTGCATTAAAACAAAATGGTGAAGCTCAGCAGTTAAACACAAATACTTTTGCTGGACAGAAATACTGTTGTGAGCACGTAGAGCCAAGGATAAAAAAACAGGAGAAAACAGTGATCGACATGTAAGATATTCCACACATCTTAGAGCATAATGTCTTGAGGAAGCTTTGAAACAGAAAAACTGTTGTGAGCTCAATATAGGTGGGAATGTTTTCTTGAACACCTCGATCCAGCTTCATAGCTCATCTCTGTTGTTAAGAAAAAAGTAAACAAGAGGCAAAAAACTGAGTGACATTAACAACATAGTGCAAAAACCAAAACACACCAGTCTGGTACAATTGATTGGTTAAGACCAGGCCAGATCATTGGTAACCATGGAGACACACTGTAGATATGACAGCTGGGGAGTGATCACATGACACTTATCAAACCAACGTCAGACTGACAAAATGGAAGCTGTTCTACATGTGGCTACACCACTGTCAGTACAGACGCTCAAAACCTTTAATCAACAATCACGTTATTTTTACTGAGACTGTGACGTCAACAATGATGGACGAGATGATCTGTGGTCGTACATGAAAAGGGGGCATTCCTTCACATATGTGAGATTTATCACTTCAGTTCAAACTGTTATACAGCGTGAAGATTGGCCGAACTTGGAGGAACGCTTTTCTATGTGTTTCCATCAAATTATTAGTTAACGCCATCCACAATATGTGTTGCTGCTTCACTGTATATGCAGCTCAAACTTCAGGTTGGAGTCTTCTTCACAGCACTTGCATCCATATAAAACCTTACGGCACAAAATTTGCTACAAATTCCTCTCCAAATGTGGCTGTGACTTGAACTGTGGACAGTTCCAAAGACTGAAGTTGGCATCAATGGTCAATTCTCTAAATGTGATTTACATTTAGATAAAAAAAAAATAATGGAGCTTCAGACAATAGCAATTTTGCCCACTTCCATGGTCTGTTAGCCAGAAAAAAAAGTTCCTCTTTGGTTCCAAATTACTTACAGTAAGCAGCTCTGCCTATTCATTCACACTAGAGCTGTGCATTCATGAAGCGTGAGCTGAGGCTTAATGTCACCTCACATTTTCCAGCTACCAGACCCAGACAAGGAAGGTGAGGCGGCGGTCCAGACTACTAATGCTAATACTGCAGTGGTACTGTCTGTGGTACAGTCTGTGGTACTGTCTGTGGTACAGTCTGTGGTACTGTCTGTGGTACAGTCTGTGGTACTGTCTGTGGTACAGTCTGTGGTACTGTCTGTGGTACAGTCTGTGGTACTGTCAGTGGTACAGTCTGTGGTGTGGTTTGACTTCAGGACACCAGTCTGTATCTGGATACAGGAGGCAGTGGACAGTCTTAAACCTGCAGGTGGAGAAGAGAGCAGAGATAAAAAAGAGAACAAAAATACATATCAGATTAATATAAGAAGGTAAATAGGTTTAGATCTCACCTGGTGGGATCTTCGACCAGGGAAAAACCTCCAACTATGCTGACGATGTTTCTTCTGTTCTCAAAGCCTCCATAGCTGAGAGTCACCTGTTAACGAAAAAAAATAAAAAATACTGTGATCTTACTTGTTGTTAAGACTTGACAATGGACAACCATAGAAATGAATAGTGAATAAATATTCCACTGACTGACAACAAATGTTAATGGTTACGATTATGAAGTATTCCTGCTAGTGTTTTGGGTTTTGGAAATCACCTGCTGGAGCACAGCATCCGTGGGCAGCTTCTGCAGGTTCTCCAGGTGGGAATGGAAGAGGTGAGTGTGAGTCAGAGAAACTTCCAGCAGGGCCTCAATGATGTAACCGACGGTGCAGTCGTCCGGAAGTCGAATCTTCTCGGCCGTGCTGATGAAATTCCCTAAACTGAAGTCAAATGACCAGAGTTTCAACCAACACAATTCCTTATTTGTTTGAATCAGGCAAAAAAAAAACCATCAAAAACTCAATTGCTTCATTTTGTACCATGCACTGCTGTCAAAATAAATATACTTTCACCTTTTGTATCACGTAACCTGCATTGATTATGAATGAATGAATTATGAATCTTTTTCCTTTTTTTCCCCCCTCACGTAACCTGCATTGATTATGAATGATTGTCTTTTTCCTTTTTTTCCCCTTTTTGTCACTGTCAATTATTCTGACAACACCACAGTTGACGACAAGCCTCAACACATTCTGCAGCTGATTTAGACTCATGTCTTTGACACGCGTCTCTTCTGATCATTCGTTCACATTTGTGTTGTTTTAACTGAGTAGAACAGTCTCTTGATGTTCCGCCAAAATGCAGCTAAACTAGTTTCAGCCTCTCATCGCAGCAGCCTACTGCAGCCTAAACTACAACCCACCTGGCCCACGGGCTCATTTTCAGTGCCAGACCTCTGCTGATACAGAAACCTGCTCCTCCTGTGGCAAACCAGAACTTAACAGATACCTGAAATAAAAACAAGAAAAACGAACGGAAAGTTTAGTAAACAACGTACAGCTCTGCGTTCATGAAGCCAAGAAGAGCTACATTTGAAAAGACAAATAAGAGCGAGAGGTTTGAAGTTGACTGACTGATCCGTCGCTCTTGACTCTCTCTGCAGCCTCTATAGGGTGATCCAGACTGGGCCGGCCAAGGTAGACATCCTGGCTGTGGTGGTAGGACGAGAGTAACTGCAGCAGGCTGGGCAGGATGACGTAGTTGTCGTCATCTACATGGCAGAACCACCTTCACGTACACACGGACATATATTGTTAGCGATGGACATTAGCATAATGTAAACGAATGGAGGTTCAACAACTGGACTTCCTGACCGCAGGACAGAAATAATGCATTTACATTTGTTTTTTATAATCAAACGGAGACACAAATATAAGGCACAGATATTCAGTGGCCCACCCCGGGGTCACTCACTTCTTCTGAGACTCGATGAACTTGTCGTACTCCACTGACATCTTGCAGCACAGAGCCTGTCGGGTGTGAGCAGCTGAGCAGTTGGTGTTGATGATGTTGGCCCCTATGGAAGAGAAAAGACACAGTAGACAACAACTTCAAACTGATGTTTGCTAACACTTTTATAATCCAGAACTGTTTTATACTTGTTGATATAATCCTAGAATTAATAACCAACTAATTATTTTGACATTAACAGTTTCTTTGAAGCGTTTTTTTCCCCCTACATTTCAACTTACTGCTATATTACTTACTAATATAATGTACATACATAATTATATCCACTTCATAACAATGTAGATCATTTAAATGTTCATGTAAATAAAAATTTCCTTCTGAAAACATAAAAAGGTTCCACATTAAAGGACAAAGACTGAGTTTAGGAATGCAATTATTCTTAACCCAAAAAATGACACCTGTTGATCTATTGATTTCAGCCGCTGTTATTCCACATACTGCTACACAAGCACAAAACATGGAGTAAAAACAGTTAGACGTCAAACCTGTTCTCAGTCGGAGCTCGTTGTCTTCACCATCCGTGAACATGAAAGTCTTATAAAAAAAAGAGACAGACACACAAGTCAAATACTTATAAATAATATCAGGACCATAATAGTGAGAAGATTTTCCTCAGAGTGTAAACTTTGTTGGCCTCTTTGCTTCTCTGTTATAGTAAAAAAAAAAGTTTTTTTAGTGAAGGTATTTTTTTTCCCTCTGTCTGGTCTCAGTGCAGGGCTGAACACAGACATGTTCAGCCCTGCGGCATCTGTACCATTTACACACCTTCAAATTAGGCACTGGGTCTACGGGGTCATTAGTGGTGACCTGCT